AGACTAAAACAAAGCAGTCTCTGTGAGTTTACCTTTGTAGTTTAAGTACTTATGCGTGTCCAATTAACCCACATGCATCAAAATATTCAAAACCGTCTGAGAATTGGAAATGACTGAAAGCGCTCAGGTTTGCGCTTTGTAGTTAATATTTAACAATTATTCACCGAAGGCGAGGTGAATATCGTCGATTAATCTCCGAGACGAAGTCGAGGGGATTATTCGACAATATTCANTTCTTTGCTGCACCGTCTTTACCAAGTGGTTCGTATCAACAGAATTTCAATTTGTCAACCTTACGATAACCAATTTCAAAATATTGTCCACAAATTTTGTGGTAAAATCCAGGCGAAGTGATATAAAATACAGTTATATTGTTAATGTTTTCTAATGGATTGGAAGTGATTTGCGAACCGGTCAAAAGGTTCTATTTCTAATTAAAACAACCGGCCGTTGATTTACTCCTGTGCGACTTCGTGACAGGCAAGCACTTATAACCTGCGAGTGGTCTGATGGAGACTTGGACCAACTCATGAGATCTATCATGTAGACATGGTCCGAAATTAATTTTTGAGCCAACATTTAAATGAGTGTTGATATAAATGAATGGGTATAAATAAGATCAAGATCTAAAAGCAATATCTGGTTACCTTTTATGTGAAATATTTTCACAGGTGGTAATAATACTAATGGGTTCATATGTTGATATATGTCCTGGAAACGCCACAGGAGCTAACAGAGTTGCTGGTAAGAAAAGACTAACAGTATTACAGCCACGCGTGAATTATTACGCTGGTAAACCGAAAAAAAAAAAAACAACTATTTATCGCTTATACAAGGAAACTATGTTATCTGATACGATAGGGTTGTATCAAAGGATTTTGGTTTGAGGAGGAGCAAGAAGGGCAGAGAAAACGGGATACATGAGAAGTCGGCACAGTTTTAAGAGCAAGAAAGTCTTTGAATACCAAAGGGTCACAGGGTGCATTAGTTTTCTTACGGGTCTATTATCTTTGTCACAATCTTAAGTGAGGGTCGTTTGATAAACAGAAATTATTAACGTTTCGTGAGGGAGAAAAGGGCTCTTTCCTCTTTCTGAGCGGAAAATTTAGTGTAGCCTCCTTGGAATGTGAAAGGGTGTATAATGTTTATCAATTCAAACATGATTTGTTTGTTTCCCCCGTTTTTCACAGCTCACTATAATGTTCTTGCAAAGAACTATGACTATTTCTACAAAGAGCGCCATGAAGCTCAGTTCAAAATCTTGATGAAATACTTGGATTTAAAGTCTGACCATCTTGTGGTCGACCTTGCCAGTGGAACGGGCGTCCATGGTGAAAAACTGGTCGAGAGTTTCAAACTGAAAAGTCCCGTATGGTGTGTAGAACCTTCTTCAGAAATGCAAAAAGTGGCTAAGGGAAAGAAAGGTGTGCTTACCATCGAAAAAACCGTAGAAGAATTCTTGGATGATCTAGACAAACAGAATCGCTTCGACTTCGCCTTGTGTGTCGGCTCAGTTCATCATTTCAGCGATCCTGTGAAAGTTTACAAGGGCGTAGAATTGTGTTTGACGCCAGATGGTGTCTTCATGGTCGTGCAAGTTGGCGAATTAGTTTCTTTCCCTTTGTTCAAGAAAGCAAAGAATCGTCTTACCTCTTTCGTTTCCGACAGAAAGGAATGTTCTTCTGCCTATCTTCGATCAGCTAATTTTGAGGTTGAAGTTTCAGAAGAGCGGTTAGCTTTCGTGGTTAAGAAATACAAGTGGTATGACATGCTGCGAGGACGGTTTCACAGTACATTGAGGGAGTTGAGTGACGAGGAAATCGAGGAAGGAATTGACGAACTAAACAAAGGAATCCTTCAACATGCAAAGGGAGATGATGATATCCCCATTTCCATGAATTTGTTCATATTTATCGCTAAGAAAATGTAAGCATTAATGATTGTGGAGTTAATTTTTTTTCTCTCCAAATTGTTTGGATGGATGATTGTTGTTTTGCACCCCGAGGATACTGTTAACGTTCGCCTGCTTTTAAGTTCTCAAAGCGATCTGGTGGTTGATGACTTCCTTAAGTGAATGACTTTTACAAGTAAATGCTTATTCATTTTTCAATATTGGAAACTATACGAGAGAGGCAGCACACTGTGCTCTAAACCGGAAGCTAATAGATTGTCAGGGAAATAACTGCACTCTACGTCATTTACATGCACGATGGTTAATTGTATCTTATGATTATCCTACTCTAGCCATGATAGAACTTATGAAAAAATACAAGCTGTCGAAAAAAAGAAAAAAGACGCTAAACGTTCAAAAAAATTATTATGAACCTTAAAAAAAAAAAAAAAAAAGTACGATACTGTACTAAACGCTTTTAAGTTGTTTGGTCTGCGAAGTTCTAAGTTTGAGGCAGAATTTTGTTAATTGAATTGTGTTTTTTAAGTAAGAAAAAAGTGCACCTTAAGAACAAAATATGAAGCTGAAAATATATGAAGAGTTATTCTCATGTTGCAGCATGCTTGGGTGGTTCTTTTTGAAGATTGGATGAAGGTCAACGCAAGATAATTCCTGTAGGTTTGATTTCAAGGCGTGTTCTCATTGCTGTCCCTCTTGTCGGCCCTGCCATATATACTAAATAAGATTAGACTTGACTCGGCAAAAGAAAGTCAGTTATCTCAAACAACGCGCCTAATGCTGCTGCATTAAATTGGTGGCGAAAAGAAAATGTAATGAATGACAATAATGAAATGAACATTGATATGAAATGGCGACATGTCTGGTTAGATCCTTATTTCGCAGCGGAAGCTACATTTCAAGAACTGCTTTAGGCATCGAGCCTATTCGTTGGGCATCATTACTAGCACTCGGTAACTTTCAGTTGGTGGTACAAGTCAATGCTTTTGTACTAGGGGAAAGGCAGACAACCATGGAAAACGCAGGTGGCCCAAGCGTACTATGTGTGTTTTTGTGGTCTAAATAACATTAACGGTGATACATAGCAGATTAAGATCGAATTCTAAGCGTGAGCGTGGGCCGTTAAAAAGAGTAAAAATTGTAAACAAGTTAAGAAAAAATTAAAAAGGATAATAAAAGCAAGGAATATAACGTATGGAGTCTCCTTACCTTTTTTCCGTAGCCGCTCTGTCGCCAATCTGACCAAATAAAAGACTAATGGATAAAGGGTGAAAGTTTCTAAAGAAACTGTGGTGCTGCGTCGGTGGGGGTAACAAGTAATTTGGTTATATCAACTAAGTCGAAATTGTAAATTGGCCACCGCAAGGAGTTAAAAAGCTGACGTGTCGAGCGTTAGCCCTTCGTCAGAACGAATGACGAAGGGCTAACGCTCGAAACGTCAGCTTTTTAACTCGTTACAGTGGCCAATTTACGATTTCAATTTAGTGGATATAACCAAATTACCAAGTAAAAGACTATCCAGGGGATCGATAGGAAGGTTGTTACGTTTGCCCTATTGTCAAACAACACAGTCTGGGGCCGGGCGTGCGTGTAATTCGAACGGATGCGCTTTGATATTTGAATCCCGTAGAAGAGCAAAAGGAGTGCGCGTACCTGATTTACCCAGAAAGGGTGGTAAAACAGAGCGGCTCTCGGATCGATGCAGCGGAATTTGGAAACTTTTGCCGCTCGAACGGGTAGGTATTAGCAAAGCACTTTCGCAGGTGGAAATTTGAGGAAGATCGGTCGAGTTTTGTGGAATTTATCGGCCATCGAGTGGCGATGGTTTGTGCTCGGGACCGGTTGAAGTTTCCAGCCTTGTGTTTTTCTATATACAGTTGACTGGCAGCGCCACGCGCAAAGCGGCAACGGAAAAAAAGTAAGGAGACTTCATACGTTATATTTTTCGCTTTTATTATCCTTTTTAATATTTTCTCAAATTTGTTTATAACTTTTCCTTTTTTTAAGGGCCCACGCTTACGCTTAAAATTCGACCATAATCTGTTAGCTATTCCCGTTAACCACAAAATCACACACAGTATGTTTGGGTCGCCTGTGCTTTAACTCGTGCAGTTTTGATAGCTTAACTTTTTAGTTGTTATGGCATCAAATTTTTGCTTCATATTTAAGTTAAAGCTCGCTGATGCGATTTTGGGATTAACACGCGCACTCTATATAAGACAAAACATTGATCACTCTAAACAAGGACTATTGTGGAAATGTGTGAGGTGTGCATCAATGCAAACGTTGTTTGAAGCGACTGAATTCACGCTTTAGTATGCCGCGCGAGAGTTTAGCACCATCTGCAATTTTTTAGCGACGAAACTCGTGGTACGATGTAGAAACTACTATCATATTTTTTTCAGATGAGACAAATTTCATTTTAAACAAAAATTATCAGATTCCTTCGCGGGAAAGATGAACCCTTTGAAATTTGCCTCGCTCTCAACGTGGCTTCGTAACTGATTTCGGGGCGAGGCATGAGTTCTAGTCCCGTCGAAGCCTGAATTTTTTTCAGGCTTCCTTTGTACAATTGATTAAATTGCGGTTCACCGAGGATCATTTCTTTGCTTATATCAACTACTATTTTTCGAACAAATTGCTATCTGCTGGGTTACAAATAATCCTGTGAATGGCTGCACTTAACAAAACCACTTATCAAAAGCTAGAAAAAACCGCGTCGTCTTTAAAAAGTCTTTATTTCAGCAAAATATAACTATCTGTCGTTTGTTTATTCGTCTCTGTGGTCAGCTGTGCTCAAAGATTCTAAATCGTTATCTCCTCGTGCGCAACCATAAGTTTTTGTTATTTTGAAGGAAGATTTCGCCAACAAGAAAAAAAAAAAATGATTTCGCCAACAAGAAAAAAAAAGAGTGATTTATTTCTTTTGGATATTTTTTATTTTCAATAACTGGTCAGTTTAGATTCACTTGAAAAGCCGGAAATGAAGGGAATTTCTCGTGTGAAATTTAAAGTTTAAGGGGAACTAGATTACTAAGAACAGAGTAAGAGCTTAAAAAATTGAACTCAAGAAATAATAACTGATTGGCCAGACAAAATAATGCATTAACCAGCAATGTAACAATCGATCAAAAAATGAGAAGTAGGTGTAAAGACTGATGGTTCTTTTGAAAATTAGTGCGCCTTGTTCGTGATTCATGGTGTCCTTTTTTTTGGAAATGATATTGATTTTGTGGTACATCTTTAGTAGTCTACAGCGTGTGATTGGTGCAATCTCTTTGATTGACAGCCAAAGTAAATAGCGCTATTCTCTGGGTTGTTTTGAAAGCTTTGACGGATTAGAGAGTGACATCGAATGACGACTCATTTAAGCTGCTATTTTTTTCTAAAATAGTTCAGTTGGCACCTGCAAGAAGGAGACAAAATAGCTACATTTCTTTTATATATTGTGGAAAAAAAACTTCACCTTCGGAGAAGAGCAGGTAGTAAGGGAAATTTTCTTATATGCAACGAAATTTGCCAGGCCTAACTGGTAGGTTTGTTATTTTGCTGGTAACCTTGAGGTTATTAGAGTTTACGTTTTCTAGCTGAAGTTTTTCAATTTACTTGACCAAGAACGGCTTTTTCGGTTTTAATTTTGGTTCTTTTTATTTTTTGTGGATTCACCTCTGACATCCTTGTGCATTGCAAAAGGAACTCCGCAATCACGTCAAACTTGTCGTCGACGAAAAACCTTGTCCGACTTGTGGGCGAATGAGGGTTTTAGAGTTCACTTTCACTCGAGATCGGGGCGCTTTGTACCAAAAAGGAGGAGGTAATGTGTTTGGGAATAATTTACGACCCTAAAAATTTTCACTCATTCAATTTGCAAGTGTATAATTCACTATTATTTTCTGATAAAATAATCGGGTCGTATAATGACATCTACATACTAAAAGTACCAATATTTTAGCTATGCAAAAACTCTCTCTCTACGCATTTTGAATGACCGAAAATTTAATCCTCTGGCTTCATATGTATTACTTTACATTCACGGTGATATTCCAATGCCGCAAGAAAGAAACCTATGTCATTTATACAAGAAAACTGAGGGTTATTTACAAGGCAAAGGGAACGTCTGTTTGTGCAGCTTTTGAAAAAGAGCTGATTGAGGCCAAATTAACGAAAAAAATTTGTAGCTTTTTTATGGCTTCTTTTCCTCGTTATACCGTCGGGTACAGTGGAATTGACATTGACGATATTTCCCTGTAGACTTTTCCAAGAATAACTCATAAATTTATATTTATCACCATTGGAGCGGTAAGCTAGAGAGGACGAGCTTCTTACTCTCAAACTGGACGTAGTCAATAAAGGTTAGCCTGTGTTCCACATTTTAGTCGATTTGGTGATTAAGATTGGATTATAACTATTCATTTTTTGTCGAGAAATTGACCGATTTGGCTCTTAATGTACAAATATAGATATTTTGGGTGACCAACGTGTCAGTTATTAAAACCAGATGTTAATATAATCGCTTTATAAAGCATTATTTATACTATTTGTTTCTAACCATAACCGTATATGAAACGCGGAAAAATACAACATTTTTGAGGGGTGACAAAAACAACAAGATGATTCCATAAAGAAATAATTTAAACGTGGCCCAATACCTGTTTTCTTGATATACCAGTGGAATCAGATTCCCATAAGGGCCCGAATTATAATTATGGTTGACACCGACGCTACTATATTGGTTGTTCTTAAAACCACAGACTCTGGCCTTGTGGTCGACGGGAAGACATAATTGACATTTCGTCCCGGGGTTTCCTGTTTTGTTGTTCTGTTTAATTATACTATACAGAGAAGAGCGAAGGAAATTGATCAGATTTTGATTATTGAGGCGCTGTTCAAGTTCAAGGACGAACTTTTAGCCGATCATTTGGGTTATCTTGAATTGTCATAAATTATTTATCCGCTGAAATGCGCTTTTAAATTGATGGGAATCCCAATGCGAGGATAACTTTTCCATTTTTCCGTTGGCGGTATTTTTCATCATATCCTTCAATACATAAAGCCACTTAAAAGACGGAAGGAAGCTGTATTTCAGGAGAGGTTTTTGCTAAAGACGATTCGATGAATTAAAGCGCTATATTGAATCGCGGTCTATTTACAGCCAGCCTACTTCACGAAGGAAAAATACCGGAACTTTTTTGTAGTTTTGGGTTACTTTACTTTTATTCTCTTCTAAATCTACTTTGACTGACTTTAGACGTGATTTCGAGTAATTTATTTTTTTAAGACAGAGTTCAATGGTGCTTTGCACCATTTTGGTAGTAAATGAAATCAATTATTGCGGACCAATAAAATTTATTTGGATTTGTATGACATATGTCACATAACAAGCCACTTAGATTAGCAGTACAAAGGGGAGACTTATTTCCAAGTTCTTCTTCAATGACGCGGTGAAAATCAGCTACTGCTCTTTGAAATAATGCCGCTTTTCGTGAAATGCGTAACCTAAACCTTTGATTTTTGCTACATACTTTCTAAGTGCCCCTTCAGTTCATGAAAATTAATTTCTCAAAGTATACTCATGTGTTTGACATCGTTTTTAATTATCTTTATAACCGTTCTTTGTTGGAATGAGTCTCGTGTTTTCAATACTAAATTTAGACAAAAATTGGTTTTCGTGCATTCAGTAAAAATACATAAATGATATGTAAAAAATTTTAGATAGTGTTTGAAATGAAAGATAAAATGAAGCGATCTGACTTTCCTTTCGTTTCGGGATTGACTACGCAAAAAACGCAAAACTCTGAAACTGCCTTTGGCGATTTTTCATTTTTTCAAAGATGTACAGGAAAGTTAATAGCCGTCATTTCCTAAAACGTTTTGTTTGTATTTGTCGGCGAGGAATTAGACGATTGACTAAAAAATTGAATAACAATTTAAGGATCCACTTAAGCGATACAATTAGACTTATATATAAATTGCTATTCTTCAAGATTATGTCGGATGTCGGGAAGAAAATGACTCTTTTGAGTTTCTTTGAATGGAAGAACTCATTATCGTCAAACTTTCTTTTATTTTGCAACTGATGTTTAATTATTCGAAAACTTCTTTCCAAAAATAAATAAAGGCGATTGAATGGCATGTATTGATTATTCTCCAACATAACAGCGTTTTCGATTTTTTAAATTGAAATTTTTTATTTGAAATGTTTAACTAGCCCTGTAAATTGTCGGCTGTAATACCTGGAGTCTCTCTGTTTTTTATCGTACTTTCATGTGCGATTTTCTTCTTTTGAAAAACGAGAAAGTAAAGCCATCATCGAAGAAGTATACGCTGGGAATGCAGCTTTGATAACGAGATGGCTGTGGTATCATGGTTACAAACAAAATCAAAATGAACACTATGATAGAAGAGTTTACTTTACAACCCTTATTGAGGAGAGTGGATGTGAAGAGCTTGAAAATGATACCAACACAAAAGCAATTATGGCTGAAATTTTAAATTGATACTACAATTTCATCCCAAGGCTGGTTGTGTCTTTCTCCCGGTTAATTAGACACTAAGTGTTGTGTGGGTTGTTCTAAAAGCATTTCGTTTGATTAATCAAGTACCGTGCCTATCATCAATCCAAATTTCCGTTCACCAAGTACGATTTTTTTTCCAGAGGTGTTTTAAGTATTTCTTTCAGAGGAAGGAAGTTATCCCTGTCGGCATGCAGTTTAACTAGATTTGCTGGCGAAAAGAGGATGAATCTCTTGGATTCTCGCTATTTTAGGATGATGTATTTTGAACTGAATTAGCGGATATTAGTGTCGCGAAAATACCAATCAATATCGATCTGTAAATGTCCAATTTTGTCGCATTAACATAAACTCAAGATGTCCCTCACAAGCACGAAAACGTGAAGAATCATGACACCTAGAGGACTGTACTGTTTATCAAGTCGCAAATGCAATCAATTTAACTCTTAGTGATTACTTTGAACTGAGCAAGAATAAATTTTGAATTAATTGTTTTATTAATAATAGCAATTTCTTAGTTTCCCTTTAGTGTATTTTGTTAGATTTTAAAATCGAATCGTTTTGCGCGCCAAATCGTGACTGTTTCTTCTTTGAAAGTGTAGAGGTAACGTCAAGGTAACATGGTTTGACTATCACCTTCTATCAAGAGATCGGGGTAGAGAACTATAGTTGCGACGGCGCCAAAAAAAAAAATTGGTTTTAAGAGTAAGAAAAGATGTAAAATTTTAAGCTCCATCCTAAAATTAAGAAAGATGTAAAAAGCGTGGAGAGAAGAAACGATCTTGGGCATGCGTGATAATAAACTACCGCCTTAAACTTCCGGCTTTTGTATGCGAGTGTTCTTCAAACTTTGTCATATACAGAAAACTCGTTGGACAGTCCGGCAATAATCAACAGTGTCGAATCCCGTCTAGTGTTGAGATTTACTAAAGAAAGATGGTTAAGTTTTGAGCTCGAACGTCGAATGAAGATTTTCATGAAATTGAATTTGTTTAATGAACTAGCGAAAGGCTCAATGCACCCCAGGTGTTTGATCCCAGCTCTCCACATTCGAAGGAAGTGCACTCCTGCTAAAGTTGTACAAAAAATGACGTCGTAAGTTTAGTCTCAGAAATACACAAATTTCTCGTTCATTTTATAAAACAAAACGGATTAGCTTTTTGAAAAAACATATGGCATATATGCCTATATCTTGATAGCCCTTTCTGCACTAGCTGATGTTTGGCATGGTTCCGACCTTGTTCTTTCACCTTGCGAAAAGTGAGTAGAGATGGTTTATACAGTGCTTGACTCTCACGTGACAGAAAACTCGTTGAAATTTCCGGCTCTCCATATCTTTTGATAGCCCTATTGTTCCAATGTCCATACGGTGATTAATGAGCCATCATTACTGAACTTTTGGTTTGCTTTATGTGGTAAAAACTAATTAGGCAATCACTACCGTTTTGGCTCAGGATCGTGTGAACAGTTCTTATACATGAGATAGAATAAATATACGAAAATCATATATGAAAATATATGAAAATCATTTCATATATTTATTCTATCTCATTTATCACTTTCACGGGTTCATTACGAATCAACTTAACGGCCTGCTCTCAGTTGGCTTGTTAGCTCAATTGGTTAGAGCGCTGCACTAGTATCGCAGAGGTCAGTGGTTCGAGTCCCGTACAGGCCTGATTTTTTTCAGGTCTGAATTTCGCTATTGCTCAAATAGCGCTATCTACTGCGAGGATCGTCCATCATACGTATCAAATACCGCAGTTCAAAATATATGATTTTCATATATTTATTCTATCTCATTTATCACTTTCACGGGTTCATTACGAATCAACTTAACGGCCTGCTCTCAGTTGGCTTGTTAGCTCAATTGGTTAGAGCGCTGCACTAGTATCGCAGAGGTCAGTGGTTCGAGTCCCGTACAGGCCTGATTTTTTTCAGGTCTGAATTTCGCTATTGCTTAAATTGCGCTATCTACTGCGAGGATCGTGCATCATACGTAAGTTCTTATACAGTTATGAAATTCAAGCGAACAAAAATATATAATGTCTATAGTTCAGACTGTCTTTGCGCTGAATTATTTTTCTGCATTTATTCTTTACTCAAAAGACATCTTTGATTCAGGTATTTAGTGCAGCTTTTATGGCAGAGCAAACATTAAAAAAGAGTGATGACCGACGAATTAGCATGAATTTATAACTTTGTGCCTCTCCTCTCGCCATTGGACTTATCATACTTTATAATTACTGTATATGCCGCTTTTTTTTTTTTTTAATTATATTAAGAGACTCCCTGCAGGCCTTCTTGCCAGTGTTTGTAGAAATCAACGTACTTTTAGCTAAAATGCTTGGCTTTCAGTCGAAGATGGCTTCCAAAGTGGAAATACAAACGATAACTAAACTTTGTTGTAGTGACCAGCCTTATAAAACAAAAATTAAAATTCAACTATTTCCTCGACTGAACTGACAACCATTAATCAGCATATTAATCGCATGCCAGAATTTTCTACAGTCAACATAATGGATCTCTGGACAATTACTGAGCGCATTTACAATTTATTTATATCGTAGCGTGCATTTTGTGATTGCAAAGCACGAAAACGGAATTATGAGATTTGCTTGAGGCGCGGTGAAGAGCGTGAGCGGGCTTATTTGTGTTCAACCCACGTTACACCCTCCAAGTGCGTTTTTAATGCAGCTCAGTGATCATGACGCAAGCCTCAAAGCCTGGAGCGGTTTTTGATAACAGCGTCTATTGACTGGTGGGCGCCGAAACCACCAAGGTGAGAACAAAAGAACGAAAACTGTTCGACCCTAGCAGCAGTCGGCCGTTCAATGTCGTATTACTTTTCGTGTTTGTTTATACGTAAATCGAACTGACTTTGATAGCACATTTTTGACGTAATCAAGCCCTTTGATCGTGTGCGGTTAGTAGCAGAGTTCAGTTGTAAGATTTTAAAGTAATCCACTTGACTTGGTTAATGCTTGAGGTTCCGAGTGCTTAATGGCTGACTGTGTTTTCTGGTATGTATTGCACAACTAATATATACTTCCACTGAAACGACTTCGCTATTTTCTGGCGCCGTCTTTGCGGAGGTTAAAAGGATAGAAACTCCAACGCACTGTTTATCGTTATTGCGTAATAATTATGGGATCATGAACAGTACGTCAAAACAGATTCTCGCACCGATTTAACTGCAGGAAGTTTGCAAGTTTGTTTATCCGTATTCCATCTGGCTATCAACCTTACAACCAATATTTAGAATCCACATTGTTACCGGACTTAAGATCTCTCCTCGATAAAGCGATTGGCAAAACTCACGGCTATCTTTTGACTTCTTCTCGGTCAGTATCTGTCCACCATTGTTTTGGAGTGCCATTATGTAGTTCTTCAATCAAACCGATAAAGGTAACACATTAATAACTCAGATAACCAGATCGCACGTTCTCGACGTACACTGCCACAGGAAGCGCTAACTGAAATATAAGCAGTCGAGAAGCGAGAAGGGAGAACATAATTACGAAAAAGTTTCAAAAGACGAATTCATCTCGATCTGTCTTTTCACTCTCTTTTTAGTAACATTGATTTATTTTCCTAAATTTTCATCAAGCAAATATCCTAAGGGCACTTTTTTAACTATCATGTTAAAGAGCTTTTAAAATATTTTTGTTTTCCACTTGAAATTTTGTTTTATTCATTGACGTCAGTGAAATGTTTGATTTCACTTGAATGAAAAGTGCGTTTGAATAGTCTTATGGCTTCCTCCTGGATTTAAGTAGGTTGTTTAGCTTTGAGTTTTACTTGATCATTGATTGCATGCTGAGAAAATGGCGCAAGAATACACCTGTCCAGCGATCGTCATTTACCAGCGTCTGCTTTCTCATTTTACAGCTGTCAAATTGCACGATATTACAGCTTCTGGAATAAAAAGAAATCTTCCAGTCTACACAAGCCGGAATCGAGACTGTACAAAACAAACGTTACGCTCGCAGCAGGAGAACGTATTTAAAGGAATAAGTTGAGTTGTGTAAGTTGTGTTTTATTATTGTAGCTAGGCTGCGGAAGCTTAATTTTTTTTCTTTATACTACACCGTGTAGGAGAGAATTTCTCACTTGCTGTACCATTCAAAGAATTGCGTAGAAGGCGTAATTATATAAATGTCCCCACGCGAGCGAGGGCAGAATGCCAACCACGCATTTGGGGCTTATGTTAGGTGACAGGAAAAAAAAAAGTTTCGTAGAAATATTTCCTTTTTAACCAGAAAAATATCAAACAAATTTGATATCGTCATAGGAAGTTTTTTTCTATAGAGTCATTTTTTACCCGGCTATACCTAGTTGATTCATTCAAACGTATCATAAACTTTCTTAGGGTAAGTGAGGCGAGTATCAAAGTTCACTGTTCGTAAGGCCGGGATTAAAATGGTTTGAATTTAGCTCCCAATTAACACTCACCAAAAGCTCTCTTCGTTTTCATTTTCTTTGTGACAGACGATTGCAACAAACCACAAAAATTGAACATATTGACCCTAAAAATTCGATTTAGCACCTTCGTTCCAATAAGCGCCCCCTTTCTAAGAAGCGTCCCCACTCGAACAAGCTCCTCTGCTAAGAAAGCGCCCTAATTCCAATTAAGCGGCCCTTTACCACTAAGCGCATGTATTCCAATTTTAAAGTGATAGCACTGTTAGAGTACATGGACATTAAGATCAACCGTGGCTCATCTTCCTTTAGAAAAGGTCTAAGTCTCTCGTGACGACACAGTCTTTTCAAACAAATGATCTCGTATTCCAGCGATTGCTTCCCTGGTCTTTCTAGCCAGGGAGGATCCAGGGACAACGAGTCCAGTCGTCTTGATCCTTTTCATATAAAAATCAAAGCCTCGTTTCGTTCATTCTACTAGTTTTCAAACCAGAATTAAACACCTTGTTTCGAATAAGCGCCCTCCATTGAAGTACCAAAAGTGACAAAGCGCCTTGGGCGCTAAATCGATCATTACGGTTCTTCTTCTCTAAGTCGTTTTTACATGCATGTAATAATATTTGCATTAACTGCAGACAGGAAATATTTTGCCACCGCGTAGATTAAAAAACATCATGGCATTTTACTTTGCGATATTTCTTTTGGAGGATTGAGGACAATTTACAAAGTCTGCTACAGTAATAAGTGAAAAAAAAAAAAAAAAACCGCAACATTTCAATGCTACAATGTATTTTTCTAAAGGGATGATTTACTGGAAGTGATTCGAATTTGGCCATTTATAGCCTTGCCCCGTCATGTGCAAACTCGGCGCCAACTTCAGTTCCCAGGCCTTCCGGCGGGGAGCTCGTTGGTGAAGGATACTTATCATTAATGGGAGGGGAGGTAAGGGTACGTCAAGGGAGCTCATTGTGGAAAAAGGCTTTGTCATAAGTGGGAGGGAGGGAGGACAGGGGATGTATGAAAAGCTCTGCTGGAAGAAGCTGCAACTTGAGTAACTGCTCCTCTTTTAATATTATATGCGTTAAGTTAGCCGATTGTTTGAGATGTACGATTTGCGTTAACTAATAGCGGAAAAAGTATTGAACCCGCACAATTAGCTTAATCTGCAAGACGTAGGATTCAAAGTGAAGGAAGTCATTGCAACACTAGCGTCTTGAGATTCCAAGTAGAAACCTCAACTCCAGAAAATTGTCTTCGAAAATATGCTAAAAAATATTGACTACAGAAGCCACAAAATTGAATCTTGCTCAGCACTCTGGACGATCACATGTGTCTCAAATCTCTTTCTTCCATCTCTGGGCGATCTCTTGAAAAAAAGGCATGCTTTACAAGAAAAATTATTTCTTTCGATAACAAGGACAGCAGCTTCTTTTGAGTCGCGTGTTGTGCTTTTACGTGTGCGGCCAGGTTGCTGTGTTGTCTTCGAAATGGCGGCGTCTACAGTGCAGTGAAAAATTTCGAACTGGTGATGTTGCTTTTTAGAATTTCAAACCATACTAATTTTGAATTTTTATGAATTTTCAAATGAATGAGATGAAAATTACTTGGTTTCTGAAGGATATTTCTCCTTTACCAGATCGAGACCAAGCTTCCTATGCAACTCGTTCTTCAGTCACCTGTTGATTACAAAAATCATTTTGATATACTTTGCCAATTGCAGTGAAAGAGTCGGTCAAATGTTGACACTATCGCTCATGAAATAGTAGGTACATACAAACATTAATACGCTAAAATAGGTTCAGAATCGACTCTAACAGTAACACTTTTGTTCTTCTCGTCGGGAATATTACCGTCTTTCATGATGAAATGGAATTGCAAGAATTATCTTGCACTCGGAATCAATCAGTCAATAAATCAGTCAGATGTATTTATAGAAAGTGTTTTATGCTGCTAACGACACAGGGAGCCTAAACATGTCATTTGCTCACTTGCACTCGTCAACAGTTAACAATTATTCACCGAAGTGGAGGTGAAACTTTTGGTGGATACTTTCCGAGCTGTGAAGCAGCGACGTAGATATCCACCATTTTTTTTTTAACCTACACTGAAGTGTATAATTGTTTTAGTATATATCACAAAGAAACCAAAACATTAGTATATGTATCGGAAAATGGTCAGAAAATAAACTCTTGACTCATGACTTTGTCTCTTCAGCTGCTCAGAGGTGAATAGTATTTTGCTAACAACTTCCGAACCAGCCAATCAGCGCGTGCGAAAAGCATTGTTCACCTGTGTGGTATATACTAACGACGTTTATGGAATCTCTGTTTACTTAGCTTGCCTAAAGTAAGTGACCCATCGATTAGGCTCTTTGCAGGACTTAATCACGTGCTTGGATACTACATAGCAACGCATTGCTGGTGAGCAAGCAAACCAGCGTCCCGCTCGTTGTGGTGATCAACTCAAGCGAAACGAACTTTGACTTTTTGGTCGAAAACATCCTAAACGCTTGTTGTTTAAGAACGAAAAACGAGATTTATTTTGACTTTAGTTTCATCGAGCTTGAATTTCGCCTGATTTACCTTTGCTCCGGGAGTAAAAGCCAGGCGAAAACCCAAATATAAGACAAGATCTGGCCGATTCGCCAGGAACGACGGTGAGTTTCTTTGTTTACAGTCGTATTTCAATCTTATAAACGTAACATCGTTCGATACAGAAAATGATTATCTGTGTTAGGAACTATATGTGCATGAAACCAGAAGATTATGATCTACATTTCCGATTTTGCGTGTCAAATTCTTTTAAGATCGTTGAATGCAACCAGTGTTTACATTCTCGCTCGCTATATCAGTCTTGGATAGTACTTACTCATAATAATAAATTCTTCGTTTTTATCTTGTGTTATCAATACGAAACGAAGTTTTACGCCAGGTATCTTTATTCTAGAAGGTTTACATTGAATTGGAGGTGATATTTCTATATACCACTATTTCTTTCCTCTAGCTGAAACAGCTAGAGGAAAGAAATAGTGAAACAGCCGACTTGTCAGCATTTCCTGACCTTGCATTTTGTGCCCAGAAAGAATCTGGCTACAGGCACACAACCGAAGGCTATAAGTTTTTCGCTGAGCCTGGATATTTACACGATGTACGTCGAATTTTTATGATCCACTTTCCTCTGATGAGTTGTTCGTCTTTCTTAGGAAAACGATGAAAAGACAACGAGCAGTGGGACACAACAATGCAACGCAGAACCTCGTTTTTTCTTGTTGACAGGTTCTAAAACAGAGCAAAATGTTGTCCTCAGTTGTGAATCCGCAATTGGTTGGCGAAAAGATTATGATTACGAAATACCAAGATGAGAATTTGGCCACTCAGTTGCGGCAAAAATGAAAGCTAGCGAGAATGTGAACGCTAGTTGTGTTCAACGAACTTAAAAGAATTCAACACGCAAAATCGGAAATATAGATCATAGTGTTCTGGATTCAAGCAAATGTAATTCCTAACACTGAAAACCGTTTTCTTGAACGACATTACGTTTATAAGATTGAAATACGACTGTTAACAAAGAAACTCACCGTCACTCGTTCCTGGAGAATCGGCCATATCTTGTCATTATATTTGGGCTTTCGCCTGGCTTTACTCCCAGAGCAAAGGTAAATCAGGCGAAATTCAAGCTCGATGAAACTAAAGTCACAATAAATCTCGTTTTTCGTTCTTAAACAACAAGCGTTTGGAATGTTTTCGACCAAAAAGTCAAAGTTCGTTTCGCTTGAGTTGATCACCACAATGAGCGAGACGCTGGTTTGCTTGCTCACCAGCAATGCGTTGCTATGTGGTATCCAAGCATGTGATTAAGTCCTGCAAAGAGCCTATTACTGAATTTGGTGCTTTTCCTTCCCAAAGATGGATAAAAGGCCTTGAACTTTAATTTTTCTCTTTTTCATACAGATTGCTCATTGTCACCCGAAAAAAATACCAAACCAGCATATCCGGACAGATATGAAAAATCCCTAGCACACTCACTTGAACAGAATAAGGTTACAAATCTCATGGTAAGTAGAGTTTTTAAATGTTTTTGCTTTTACAGAGTTAGGTTTTCGTCCTTGCAAGGCAAAATGAAGGGAAGTCTTCAAATTTAAACCTGATACTAAAAAAAAAAGAGAAACACTTATGCAATCGGAGGCAAACCTCTTTACCCACAAAGGTGTTAAGTGCTTTGTTAGAAAATTTCGATCGGCGCACTCATCAGGCAAGTTTTTATTAGCTACATGTACGTTTACTATTCTCTGTTAAGTATAGTTTGAAAGATCAAAACCATAGGTCATTTTTTAATAAAACAAGTTCCAATGAAGGCTCTCTTTGTTTTAGTTAGACTTCTTGGTGTTTGATGTGACTGTAACCTTTCTAAGTGCGCGTTGGGTTTTAATCTTTCATTAAAGCCCGTTCCAAAGATGGCAAAGGAAAAACCAAGAACTGCCCAGTTTTATAAATTTTACAAAGCTAAATTAGTTCCGGGGCCAGATCCCACACTGTTTATCCACACGCATGTTTCTTTTTAAGATATACGGTGTTATTGAGTTGAAGGCAATTTCATGGTAGTGAAGTAAATGAATGGAGTCTAACACCTTTTTATCAATTCAACACTTGCAGTTTTGTAGTTTCCAAGAATTTTCTCGGAATTAATGACGATTTTTGTCGCGCAACGCAAGAAATAATCATAGTGGTTTCGTGCTCCTATTCGTATCCGTATTTTATACTGCATTATTCTAAACTATATTTAGATCAATTTGAATAGTCATTTTTCTCCCACAACCTATGCCGCAAAGATATGTGTTCTTTCGTGAGCTACTCGGATTATGTAAAGAGGATAAACTTTCCTAACTGCATTCGTAGACGTATTCTCAGTCATTGCGTGAATGGAACCGAAAGCTTATCTTTGCAAAATGAAAAAAAGAAAAAAAAAAGAATATTCGCGGTGACAACAAAAAACCACCACCATATTGCACAGTTATGATCATGATTTCAAATTGTTAGTAACTCAAGAACCAGCTCTCGATCGGATGTACCAAACAAAAGAGATCGCGACATTTTCTTTTTCAGTTGAATTTCCAGCTCAAAATATAATAGATAAAATACAAGCTGTTGCAATTTTCTGTCAGTATGAGGACTTCTTATTTATATAGTCTTATTTGTACTTAGAGGTCAACATTTAGCGTTCAGCACGGAAAGTTACAGATGTTTGCAGATGTTTTCGTGTTCCCAGCTGAAAAATCGTTACTTATGTCGATGTAGTCTTTTTTCTCTCCTCTTTGATATGCAAAAGAAATTAAAATTTCTCAAAACTGAACAGCCGTATTTCAAGTTCTGTTGTTTTGCAGAAAAGATTTTAAGACGTGTTTTGACTTTCTTTCTGTCACGAATTAGTTCCTTCACAAGTGAAAGTACACTTGAAAAGTGAAAGTATCACCGAAAGATTATTTGATGTGAAATTTACATTTGACAAATCAGTCTTCCTCAAGCGTTTGATGCTGTTTGTTTAGATGTGAATTTCTATCCTTAAAAAACTCATGGCGGTCACAATGTGGTCGTGTCATTTTGTTCTCCCTCGTCCTTCACTTACAAGTATCTGTCCGAATTCAATGTCGCGCCATCACCACCGATATTTTCAGCCTAAGCGAAAGAAAAATTATCGAGTAACTAGACTTCAGAACTTCTCCCTGCTTTTCACAGCTTGACAATACCAAGCTCAATATGTTAAAATGTTTCATACTTGCGAATATTTTCTGTATAACCTCCTGTTTCCGCCGCATCTTCGAGTCTTCATCCTTTAAGACTTCTGTTGATCAGCATCATCTTCCTGCCCACGCTTCGAGGTTTTCGTCGCAAATCGCAGTTATCCTCCGCCCAATGTGAAGTTTTCTCCTTCTTCGATTCTGGATTTAGAGATTCTCGCCATTTCTGGAAGCCGTAAATCAAGTCAATGGCGAGAAATAGGTACAGTAAACAGACCAGCACAAGTGCAACATCCATCGAGACAGCTTCGTTGTTCCTTTGTTCAGGTGTTCAGTAGCGCCTCAGCCGCATACTAATTTTTGTTTACTTTGCATAAAATGTATGTATACCCGGTTCGCGCCAAGGCACGATGGAGACCTTTTTCATTCACTCGTACGACTCAATATAAATGTGATCGTCAAACCATAATATTTACGAACACCAAACTGTTATATTTTTTTCTTTTCGTAAATATATATAGACTCTGATTAAAAATCCCGCGTGACCATTTCATGTAAATGCATGCTGACATCCTGTCGGAAATATCTAGTAGTGATGGTTATCATAGCACCACCAAGGGTTAAATTAAAATCCTTTGTTACAAAAACAGAGATAAGGTTCTCAGTATTGTCTTCATGTAGAATCAAACAGACAAAATCAAAACGAAAATTCATTTCGGAAGTCGGCGGCTACATTTGATCGCGAAACAGCTGGATTTTACCCTTTTTTTCCTTCTTTTTCTTCTTTTTTTCTGTAATTCATCAACTCAAATTAGTAATTACAATTTTTGTACAAGACACATTTCCTAGCCGACTGCATTTCAATTTTCTGAAGATTACACGTTCCAACTGGTTCTTAACGGATATCTGTGCCAGATTTGATTATTTATTTTCCATGACACAATCTCTCCTGCGTTTGTCAATTGTTTCTTCTGAACACAAACTCCGCAATTTTATCGCCTTTCATGGACACGGGATGATAAATTAGTGCATTGATGGTGTAAATGGTTAACATGATGCACTGTCGTTCGAAGTCAGTTTACCTGTAATTCAGTATGAAATATTCACTCGTAAGCAGTAACTTTAGCTTTTGGTCACTAGTTTCAACTGAAAACAAGTCAATGCCAAACAAGGAAAACAAATGAACAGACTCTCTAAAAAAGAGAAAATAAAAAGCTAAAGATCACTTTCTAGGGAATTTTTTTTAGAATTCAGAATTGATTATCTGTTATTCGTTTATTCATGCCCTGCCTTTTTGGTAAATCAGGGCGTAAAGGGAATGATTTCAGCTGGTTGACGACACGATTGTTTAATTCATTAATTCCTGGTTGCGAATTTATGAGCTGGCTGAGCGTAGAAATCTGAAATCCGGCAGAACAAATAAAGTTATACAACCCAAGTATGTACTTGAAACTGAGTTACCGATGGTCAGAAAAAAAAACAAAGCGAAGAAGAGATATTTTACTCTTGGAAAAAATGGTTCTCCCGCTCCAGGTGGACAAAGCCAAAAATATAAGGGGTGAGAACATTTAAACTCGTTATCAGTCATGTCTGAGAAGCAGAATATTGCTTATCAGTTGACTCATCAAGAAGATGATTCAGTATAGCGGTTTGAAAGCTATTAAAACTCGGTTCCTACGATTTTCTTTTTTCAGTTGTTCACCACTGAGACATACAAATGTGCCTATTTTGACTGCTTCGACTTCAGAATTGCATCATTGTCTTCTTAAGAGAATTGATATTGATTTAGAGATAAATTTACAACGAGACAAAAGTATATTTAAAGGTCGGCACACACGAGGGGACTAGTCCCTGCGACTAGTCCGTGCGACTAGTCCCCGCGACAAGTCTTTAATAAAGGGTTTACACGAGGGGACCGGTAGCAGGGACTAGTCCCTTAAGGTGTTCACACGAGGGCACTCAATTGCACAAGAACATAGGAAAATTAAGAGGCAAAAGATGTTTCTTAGTCTGGGGCGTTACACGTAAACAATGAAAATTTGACAACTTTTCATTGTAGCACTATTAAACATCAACGCAAATGAACTACACTTATTCAGTCGAATTATTCATGTTTTTACGTTCCGTTTTTTTATTTATTTATTTATTTTTAACAGACACAGAGTCAAATAGGGTAAAAATTCCATCAAAACGGCTCCAAGACATCTGTATATGTTTACAAAACTAGAAATAGTTTTTTATTCTTCAGTTGTAGAAATCTAGAATTCAGGGAAAATTCATAGGGACTGCAATGTTTACAAATACCGGAAGTCACGCATCATACTGACCCGTGATTGGCTTATTTACCGTTTAGTCGCAGGGATTGGTCGCACAAACAGTTCACACGAGGGGACAAACATTTGTTTCATGCGACAAGTCCCTGCGACCACAGAAATGTGTAGTTCACACGAAGGGACTAGTCGCATGAAACTGGTCGCTGGGACTAGTCGCAGGGACTAGTCCCCTCGTGTGTGCCGACCTTAATCCTCATAACTACCGATTAACCTCTGAACTCCCATGAGTGACCAAGGCAGAATTTCTCCTTGAAATATCAATACAATACCAAGAAGACAAGTGATGAGAGTAAAGAAATAAAATCAATTAGGGGATTTTAGGTTGATCCAATACAAAATTCTCCAAACTAACGTCACAAGCACTGTATAGCAGACAGTAAGGAGAATCAGTAATGAGATCTTGGGTGTGGAAGAGTTGTAACTGTTTTATGTAGGTACTAAGTGAGGTACTAAGTTTTTGCCTTCACAAGTTGAAGGAAATAACACGGAGACTAAATTCTATCTAAGGGCACTATTCGAGCTGATCTCCCTCTTTCATACCCAGCATATCAAAAGAGCACGTTGAACACGTTATTTTGTTGGCTTATGGAGCCCTGCCCATTGCAATATCAATAAATCCGCGAGAACGAAAGCGGTCACCCTCAGTCTTTCGACCATTTCAACCTGGTTTTAAATAGTCCTGATCAGATCAACTCTTAAAACTGAGGTATTTTACCCAATAGACCACGAAAAAACCCAACCAAACCAACCAAATTGAAACAATTCATCTTAATTGAAAACAAGATCTTAGTTTTTTGTCTGCTTCTTTCAAAACGTTTTTTTTTTTTTATAAAGCAATCTGGCGAAACTGTGCGACCAGATTTATGAGTGTTTTAGCAACATTCTACATCATGAAATTACTCCCTATCTTTCTTTGCTAGTATGGAAACGTGAGGGTTAAAAAAAACCTTTTGCGGTCGAGAATTTTATCAAACTGCTCGATGAATA